AGTCTCTGCGAGTCTATACCGGTTTCTGTGTGTCTCGATGGTTCTATATAAGTCTCTGGATCTCCATAGGTCTTATTGAGTATGGATCTCTATGGGTTTGCTCTGAGTCTCAGTGGGTATCTATGGTTCTACAAGAGTCTGTGGATCTCCATAAGTCTCTATGTATATGGGTCTCTGTGGGTCTATCTGAGTATGGGTCTCTATGGTTCTATATGAGTATGGGTCTCTGTGGTTCTATATGAGTATGGGTCTCTGTGGGTCTCTATGATTCTATATGAGTATGGGTGTCTATGGGTCTCTATGGGTCTGACCAGCTAGTTGTGCCTCAGCCTTGTTCCATCTGGGACGGCCCTCTAGCTGCTACCGTAGGTGCACACCAGGCTCAACATACCTGGTGAGTCGGTACAGTCAGCAGCTGCCAACACACCAGGCTCAACATCCCTGGTGAGTCGGTACAGTCAGCAGCTGACAACACACCAAGCTCAACATCCCTGGTGAGTCGGTACAGTAATCAGCTGCCAACGCCGAACCCCGGGCGGCGGCTAACTAACCCGGAAAACTCAGCTTGTCTGAGCCTGTGCATGTGGAACCCCTGGTGGAGGAAATTCCACCAAAAGGGTCTTTGGACCTTCCACTGCAACCAGGACCATCTCCAGTCATCTTGACTATGTCTTGCCACTGGGTACAGATGGGGCTGGTCGAGAGAGTGAGGTTGATGCTGCACAAATCACCCTCACTTAAATCCAAGTTCTCTGTGCAAGTCATGGCACATTTTACCATCGTCATTATCCAAGTCCTGTGGCGATGGGTGAGCGACGAAGCAGCAGGCATGGATATGCTGGAAGCTGTAGCCACAAACCTGCACACAGGCGGCTCAGGATATTAGTCGTTCCCTCACTGGACCGAAGCTGCAATGAAGTCCGGCAGCACCCTGAGTGACTGAGCAACCCTATTCAGGATCACACGTTTGCGGTCGAAAACAAATAAGATCAAAGTGATACCACTCACTGTTGGTGCCTGGAATGTGCGCACTTTGTTTGACACATCTGGATCAAAAAGACCTGAGAGACGCACCGCCCTCGTGGGCAGAGAGTTAGCCAGATATAATGCGGATGTTGCTGCCCTTAGTGAGACCCGACTGGCCAATACTGAACAGGTGACTGATGTGGGTGCAGGTTACACATTATTCTGGAGCGGACGAGGCCAGGAGGAGAGACGTGATACTGGTGTTGGTTTTGCAGTAAATAACCACCTGGTCAGCCAATTGGCAAGCCAACCCAAGGGAAAAAACGACCGTTTAATGACCTTAAAGCTCCACCTATTGGGTAAAAAGGAGGCCACCATCATCAGCGCCTATGCCCCTTCCATGACCAACTCTGATGAGATCAAAACCACGTTTTATAATGACCTGGAGGTCAATATTGCTACCACAACCAGCTTTGACAAACTCCTGATACTTCGTGACTGCAATGCCAGAGTTGGAAGAGACCATCAATCATGGAGTGGAGTCATAGGTGCACACGGCATTGGAAAATGTAACAGCAACGGTCTTCTACTGCTGAAAACATGCTCTGAATTTGACCTGCTATCACTAAGACGATATTTTAACTACCAAAGCGCAAGAAAACTTCATGGATGCATCCTCGTTCACACCACTGGCACTTGATTGACTACGTCATCATATGAGGAGGAGCGACCGTCACGATGTCAGGGTAACCAAGGCAATGTGTGGTGCTGAATGTTGGACTGACCATTGTCTCATCATCTCCAAACTTAACATCCAGATTAATCCTCCCAGATGCCCACAAGGAAAAAGACGTGTCAAGCGTCTTAACATCACTCGCCTACAACAGGAACACACCCGACTGGCCTTTGTTCAAGTTCATTTATTAGGTATAGCCCTGTGAGCCATTCGGATCTTAAATCGGGTGCAACCGCAACAAACAAAAACAAAACATGAACAAAAAACATCTTAAAGTGAATATGTGACTGAGTGCAAACAGAAAATCCAAGAAAAGACAGTAAAATATTGCAGAAAAAGCACTGTACTCAAAAATGTGCAAAAATCCCGGTGGGATGCAAGTCAAACAACAACAACAACCACAAGACAACTTAGATTAAGGCCATCAGTCTAACGCTGTACTACAACAAACAAACATGGCCAAACCAAAAAACTTATCAAAAATCACCAAAATAAAGCCATAAAAGCAATGAAACAGTGGTCATAGGAACTGTGACCGAATTTTCACAATAAACGACATAAACATGTACTACCAAACTCTGCAGCCATAGCTGGCTGCACGAGTCACTCCACAACAGTAGGAGCATCAGTCGGAGTATCAACATTTTTCAATGCACCTTTAAGATCAGCACACTAAATCAAAACACAGATCATACTTTGCAGCGATCATCCGGAGCGAAACATTATATTTTAGGCCACTAAATTGCAGTGGCAGCTAGGGGTGTACAACTCCTCTAGAACAGTTTTGAGTGAAGATCTCATAGATAGTGATTCAAGTTGCAGTTTATTGGCAATAGCATTCCAGACCCTGGGGGCATCAATAGAAAAGACCCTTCCTCCAGTATTTGTACGGCAATAGGGAATGCGAAGCTGGTAAATGAGCGAAGACCTTAGGTCAAACTTGTTATTTGAAACAGAGAGGAGATCCAGCAGGTAATCTTCGGATTTTTTTGTAAGTACATCATGAATAAATAAGATCTGATGCACAAGCCGTCGAACATTGAGAGATGTTAAGTTTGACCCAATGTAGAGATCACAGTGGTGAGTCCTATATGGGAAGTTAAATGCAAATCTTAAGGCCGAGTGATACATTGAGTCAAGTACAGTACTTGGGGCTGATTTATACACGATGTCACAGTAATCTAGTAGAGGCAGTATGGTAGCTTATATCAATTCCAAACGGAACATAGGGGGGACGCAGTGCTTGTGTCGATACAGAAAACCAATTTTTATTTGTCTTTTTACCAATATAATCAATGTGATCTTCAAATTTAAGTTTTGAATCAAGAATGACCCCAAGATACTTATAGATCTTGACTTGCTCTATTTGATAATTATTTAAGGAATGTAATTGGGGAAAAATAACTTCCTGCTTTAGTCCTGGTGAGAAGCATAGCACCTTGGTTTTGGAGGTATTCAGGACTAGTTTAAGAGCAACTAGCTGATGTTGTAGTTTGTTGAAATCACCATGGAGCTTAGCAATCACGTCATCCGGAGAGCGGCCAGCAGTGATCAGTATCGTGTCATTTGCAAAAAGATTTACCCTGGAATGATCCAGGTCAGTGCCCAATTCATTGACATAGAGAGAGAACAAGAGGGGGCCGAGGATTGAACCCTGTGGAACCCCTTTTGTTATCTTAACACTGTTTGACCTCCAACCATCTGTGAGTACAGTTTGGGTGCGAAAAGAGAGGTAATTTAAATTTCGATTTAAAGCTTTCGTGACTGCAGGGATTCATCTTCTTGGTTCTTTCGGTAAAGTCACATAGAAGGAAAGTAATAAAATAATAAAAATAAAACATAATAAAACAATTCTCACGACGTTTCGGCCACAACGCAAGCAGCCGTCCCAATGTGAAAACCAGGTCTGTCGATGCGACAGCGTCTGAATGAAACAGCACACGTGCTTGGAGCATATATATAAGCTGGGTTGGAAGGGGGGAAAAGAGCGCCTTGACAAAAGAATATGCATATCAAGAGGAATTCAGCATATTCATGGGAAATTCAGGTATGTGGTTAGTACTACTTATGCCCGTGCATTATGCAGGATTAGCAGCATCAAAGGGAAGGGATATGGGAAATGCAGGTAGTCAAACCCAACATTAAATTACATACTGTATTGCTATAAACCAAATCTACCATGGAAGGACTTGTGGCTGCACATCAGAGCTCTACATCATCCCTGACCTGTCCAATGCGCCACAGAGAATTCCGGGCTTGGATTGGCCTGTTCAGCCATCTGCGCACTCATCAAAACCCAACAAAATGACAAACGTGCCATGGTCATCAACTTGATGGACGAACAAGAGAGAGAGAGATGGTTCGAAATAAGTATGGGTCTCTATGGGTCTCTATAATTCTTTTCAAGTATGGGTTTCTAAGGGTCTCTATGGTTATATGTGAGTATGCGTCTTAATGGGTCTCTTCTTTTCTATATGAGTATGGATCTCGATGGTTCTATATGAGTATGGGACTCTATGGGTCTCTGGTTCTATATAAGTATAGGTCTCTGTGGGTCTCTATGGTCCTATAAGAATATGGGTCCACATGGGTCTGTATGGTTCTATATGAGCATGGGTTTCTGTGGGCCTCTATGGTTCTATATGAGTATGGGTCTCTATGGTTCTATATAAGTATGGGTCTCTATGGTCTTTGTGGGTCTATATGAGTATGGGTCTGTATGGGTTTCTGTGGGTCTCTATAGTCTCTATGGGTCTCTGGATCTATATGAGTATGGGTCTCTATGGGTCTAAATGAGTATGGGTCTCTATGGGTCTGTGTAGGTCTCTGTGGTCTCCATCGGTCTCTATGGTCTCTAAGGGTCTCTATGGGTCTCTGTTCTCTATGGGTCTCTATGGTCTCTATGGATCTCTGTGGGTCTCTATGAATTTCTGTGGTTTATATGGTCTCTATAGGTCAATATGGGTTTCTATGGTTCTCTATGGACTCTATGGGTCTCTATGGACTCTATGGGTCTCTATGGTCTCCATGCGCCGATGATCCCGGCCACTTGGGTGGGGTGGTGTGGTGCCTTAACCCCGGTGTGTGTGTGTGTATGTGACAATTCGTTTCTACATTAAGTTGTTGTTGATGTTTTTGATGTTGTCAATGTTGTTGTTTTTGTTATTGTTGTTGCTGTTGTAGATGTTGGTATTATTGTTGCTGTTGTTGTTGATGTTGTTGCTATTGTTGATTATGTGTTGCTGTTGATGATGTTGTTGCTGTTGTTGCTGTTATTGATGTTGTTGATGTTGTTGTCATGTCCGCAGCAATCCTGGCTCTCTTCGAGCCTCACCTCACCGAGCGCCAGAAGCTTGAGCTCACCACGATGGACGAGATCTGGTACTTTACTCTGGACGACGGCGAGGAGGAAACGTCGCGAGGCGGCATCAGGAACCACGGCTACGATGACCAAGAGAACAATTACATTCCTGTGAGGCTCACGGAGACACACAGCGATGCAGAGACATCAATAGAGACCCATAAAGACCCAAAGAGACACCCATAGAGATCAACAACTACATTCCTGTGAGACACACGGAGATGCAGAGACACCCATAGAGATCAACAACTACATTCCTGTGAGACACACGGAGATGCAGCGACACATAGAGACACATAGAGACTCATAGAGACACCAGAGGTGGGCCATCAGGGCCAGCAAGGCCTTCTCTGCTGGCCTAGAGATTGTCAGAATCAGAAGATTATATTTTTTATAATTGAATTTATTTTCATTAATGCTATACGTATTTTACAAAGTTCGTTCCCATCAGTCTATTAACGTCATTTCATTGCTACTCTCTCCCTCAGTTGCGCTGCTTCCAGTGCATTTAATAAATTCCAATCAGATTTTCCTGTGCAGTCTCCCCCTCTCCGGGTGAAAATCTACCCTGAGGCCTTCAGAATGTCGAGTGAATCCCCTCTGCTGTTAAAGCAAATGGGGACGATGTTGTTTATTATTATATTCTTTAACTAATCAGATTTTGAGTTTGCCATGTTTGGCGTATTCTTTCACACGCCGGAGCCTTCTCGCTGGCCTAGCCGCCTACGTTAGCATTTTTCGTGTGGCGTGATCGGAGGGCCAGTTAGATAACTGAAGTAAAACTAGCTAGCACGTAACGTAGCATCATCTAATATTTATTTAAACTTCTTTAGTGACGTTTATATATTTAGATGTAGTGCTTTTGATTTTTAGTTTTTTTCTGTGGGGAAGCCTGTTGAATCCTGATTTTGTTATTTGTGTTTTACGGCATTTTTGCTTGCTTGGTGGTCGTATGAGTAAATGTTGCTGGTTGTTGTGAGTTTGTTCTTGTTTCTTTGGTAATGACATTGATTTGGGCTATGTGATGTCTATTTGTGATGCAGCATCCTGTCCGTCTGCATAATAGTGGTACATCCTTGATGTTTTCATTCGCCATGTATTATTCATGTCTCTGGAATTAGTGTATTGTAACTCTCATAGGTGTTGAGCCTTGTGTTAAATCACTTTATTCTACTCCATAAAGGTTACTGTCACTGTGAATATGGGGTGGTTAAATTTTGATTTAAAGCTTTCGTGACTGTAGGGATTCATCTTCTTGGTTCTTTCGGTAAAGTCACGTAGAAGGGAAATAATAAAATAATAAAAATGAAACTTAATAAAATACAATTCTCACGACGTTTCGGCCACAACGCAAGCAGCCGTCCTCAGGTGAAGAACAGGTCTGTCGGAAAGATAGCATCTGAATGAACACCACCAAGCTTGGCAGCGTATATTTAAGCTGGGTTAGAGGAGGAAGGGCACCTTGACAAAGGAATTTGCATATCAACATAAGAATTTAGCATATTTATGGCAAATGCAGATATGGGATTAGTCACTACTTGTGGAATGCGTAGGAGGTTGGGGGGGGGGGTCTCAAAGTCATATTTTGCCCGTGCATTATGTAGGATTAGCAGCAACAAAGGGAGGAAGTAGGGTTAGCAGTAATAAAGGGAAGGAATTTTAATAGTAAGAATATACAGTGAGGGAAAAAAGTATTTGATCTCCTGCTGGTTTTGTACGTTTGCCCACTGACAAAGAAATGATCAGTCTATCATTTTAATGGTAGGTTTATTTGAACAGTGAGAGACAGAATAACAACAACAAAATTAAGAAAAACGCATGTCAAAAATTTTATAAATTGATTTGCATTTTAATGAGGGAAATAAGCATTTGACCCCTCTGCAAAACATGACTTAGTACTTGGTGGCAAAATCCTTGTTGGCAATCACAGAGGTCAGACGTTTCTTGTAGTTGGCCACCAGGTTTGCACACATCTCAGGAGGGATTTTGTCCCACTTCTATTTGCAGATCTTCTCCAAGTCATTAAGGTTTCGAGGATGACGTTTGGCAACTCGAACCTTCAGCTCCCTCCACAGATTTTCTATGAGATTAAGGTTTGGAGACTGACTAGGCCACTCCAGGACCTTAATGTGCTTCTTCTTGAGCCACTCCTTTGTTGCCTTGGCCGTGTGTTTTGGGTCATTGTCATGCTGGAATACCCATCCACGACCCATTTTCAATTCCCTGGCTGAGAGAAGGAGGTTCTCGCCCGAGATTTGACGGTACATGGCCCCATCCATCGTCCCTTTGATGCGGTGAAGTTGTCCTGTCCCCTTAGCAGAAAAACACCCCCAAAGCATAATGTTTCCACCTCCATGTTTGACGGTGGGGATGGTGTTCTTGGGGTCATAGGCAGCATTCCTCCCCCTCCAAACACGGCGAGTTGAGTTGATGCCAAAGAGCTCCATTTTGGTCTCATCTGACCACAACACTTTCACCCAGTTGTACTCTGAATCATTCAGATGTTCATTGGCAAACTTCAGACGGGCATGTATATGTGCTTTCTTGAGCAGGGGGACCTTGCGGGCGCTGCAGGATTTCAGTCCTTCACGGCGTAGTGTGTTACCAACTGTTTTCTTGGTGACTATGGTCCCAGCTGCCTTGAGATCATTGACAAGATCCTCCCGTGTAGTTCTGGGCTGATTCCTCACCGTTCTCATGATCATTGCAACTCCACGAGGTGAGATCTTGCATGGAGCCCCAGGCCGAGGGAGATTGACAGTTATTTTGTGTTTCTTCCATTTGCGAATAATCGCACCAACTGTTGTCACCTTCTCACCAAGATGCTTGGCGATGGACTTGTCGCCCATTCCAGCCTTGTTGTAGGTCTACAATCTTGTCCCTGACATCCTTGGAGAGCTCTTTGGTCTTGGCCATGGTGGAGAGTTTGGAATCTGATTGATTGATTGCTTCTGTGACTAGGTCTTTTATACAGGTAACAAGCTGAGATTAGGAGCACTCCCTTTAAGAGTGTGCACGTGACTTTATCGAAAGAACCAAGAAGATGGGATGGTTACATCGAATGACCAATAGCCTATAGCCCTAGTGTCATGGTGAGGCTATTCGAAGGTGGTGTAAAATACACGGCCCGCCACTGAGAGACACCCATAGAGACACACAACTAAATCCCAGTGAGGCTCACAGAGATGTAGAGGCACCTATAGAGACCCATAGAAACACCCATAGACACCCATATAGACTATAGAGACTCATAGAGACATGCAGACACACAGACTCGCACACACACACGCAAGTACATCCATGTGAGGCTCACGGAGACATACAGATACACAGACACCCATAGAAATCCACAGCTTCATTCCTATGAGACTCACAGAGATAGAAAGACTCCCATAGAGACCCACAGAGATACCTATAAACACCCATCGAGACCCATAGACACCCATCGAGACCCACAACTAAATCGCTGTGAGGCTCACGGAGACACATACACACCTATAGCGACTCACAGAGACCCACAGAGACCTCCACCCACATATATCCAAAGAGACACCGATAGAGACCCAGAGAGACCAGCAGAGACACCCATAGAGACCCATATAGACACCCATAGAGACAAGCATAGAGACCCACAGAGACCCACAGAGACAGCCATAGAGACCCACCGAGACCTAGACTCCCAGAGATCCTCAGATACACCTATAGAGACCCACAGAGACACAGAGATCCACGGGACCCCCCACCCTGACCCCCACCCTGACTATCTTCCCGTGACCTCCCCATGACCCTCTCGACCCTGACTACCTCCCCCCCTGCCTGGTGACCCCCTGCAGGTCAAGCACGAGCACTTCAACTACCGATTTCAGCTGGACAGGAAGATCGGGCAGGGCGGGCAGGGCGTGGTCGTGCGGTGTCTGGACCACAAGACGCAGACTCTGGTGGCGGTCAAGATCCTCGCCTCTCCCACCCAGTGAGTGGTATCCTGGAGCAGCCGTGCAGTCAACAAACCAACAACAAAAACAAACAATAATACAGAGATTATGATGCAGCCCCTGGCTGTGAAGTCACAGCAGCAGCGGGCAGTAGCGACAAACTAGGGCTGCCCGTCCTTGCCTGCAGCTTTGCCGTGATTCTCCGTCACTCAACCATACACCCACCCGCCCACTTGCCGACCCACCCGCCCACCCACCCACGACTACCTCTCCCCACCACCACTACCCACCCACCCACCACCACCCCACCCACCACCACCTCCTCTCCCCACCACCACCCACCCACCCCCAGCACCTCCCCACCACCCATTGCCACCACCACCCACTTCCCACCAACACACAACCGGTTAAGTGCTGAACTTTTCTCTGTCTGTCTCCATTTCTGTCTCTTTCTGTCTGTCTGTGTCTGTCTGTCTCTCTCTGTGTCTCTCTGTATCTCTCTCTGTCTGTCTCTATATCTGTTTCTCTCTGCCTACATCTCACTCGATCACAGCTTCAAGGACGAAGCGTACCAGATGATGGAGCTGCGGATGTCCATGGAGCTCCAGACGGTCCGTAGTGACGTGGACTACAACGTAGCCAACGTCATGGATATTTTTTACTTCCGGGGACACAAATGCATCGTAATGGAGCTGTTGAAGTACGGGCACCACAAGCACCACCACCGCCACCCACCAATCACTCACTCACCCACCCACCCACTTATTCACCCACCCACCCACTCATTCACCCACCCACCCAAACACTCACTCACCCACCCACTCACCCACGACCCACCCACTCATCCACCAACCCACACACTCACTCACTCACCCACTAATCTATCCACCCACCCACCCACCCATTCACTCAGTCACCTACCCACCCACTCATCCACTAACCCACTCACCCACCCACCCGTTCACCCATTCATCCACTCATACACCAACCCAGTCACCCACCCACTCACCCACCCGCTCACTCACTCATTCACTCAATCACCCACCCACCACTACCACCACAACACACTCACTCACCCACTCACTCACCCACTCACTCACCGACTCACTCACTCACCCACTCACCCACTCACCAATTTACCCACTCACTCAACCACCCACCCACTTACTCACCCACTCACCCACCCATCCACGTATGCACCCACCCACCCTGTGACTCACCCACCCACCCACTCATCCACTCATCCACTCACCCACCGACTCACTCACCCACTCACCCATCCACTTATCCACCCACCCACTAATCCAGGAACTCACTCACTCACTCACCCACTCACTCATCCACTCATGCACCCACTCACTCACCCTCCCACCCACCACCCACTCATCCACTCACCCACCCACTCACCCACCCACCCACTCACTCATCCACTCACTCACTCACTCATTCACGCACTCACCCACTCATTCACCCACCAAATACTACAAATACCACACAACCACTCACTCACCCACCACCACCACACATCCACTCACTCACCCATCACCCACTTACTCACTCACTCATCCACTCACTCACCTACCCACCCACCAACCCGCTCACCCATCCACCGACCCACCACCACAACACACCCACCACCATCACCACCCACAGACCCTCAGACCTATAGACACGTACAAAGACACCCACAGATACCCACAGAGACTCACAGAGACACACAAAGACTCATAGAAACTCACAGAGACACCTACAGAGACCCATAGAGACCCACAGAGACACTCATAGAGAATCACAGAGACCCACAGAGAACCACACAGACATTCACAGAGACCCACAGAGACACCCACAGAGACCCACAGAGACAACCACACAGAGACCCAGAGACCCACAGAGGCACCCATAGAGACCCACAGAGACACCTACAGAGACCCACAGAGACCCTAACGTCGCCTCACGTCGCTACCGCTGTCTCCCCATCACAGGAAGAGCCTCCATCAGGTGCTCATAGATATGGGGCAGTGGCGCATCGACGAGGACGATTTGAGGTCGTACGCCAGGGGCATCGTCCGCTTCCTCGACTACACCAAGTACCGGGGCATCGTCCACGGGGACATCAAGCCGGTGAGTGGAGGGCATGCTGGGGGGACGCTGAAGGGACGCTGGGGGCATGATCGGGGCACGCTGGGGGCACGATGGGGGCACACTGGGGTAACAGTCACTCACTACAACGCACCCCCACAAAGCCATCCACCCACCCACCCACTCACTGACCAATTCATCTACTCACCCAGCCAACCACCCACCCACACACCCATGCACCCATCCACCCATCCACTCACCCACCCATTCATCCACCAACCCACTCATCCATCCACCCACCCACCCATCCACCCATTCACCCAACCATCCACCCATCCATCCATCCACCCACCCACCCACCCGCCCATCCACTCACCCACCCACACATCCATCTATTCACCCATCCACCCACCCACCAATCCACCACCCATCCATCCACCCATCTACACATCCACTCACCCACCCATCCATCCACCCACCCACCAATCCACTCACCCATTCACCCAACCACCCACTCACCCACTCACCCATCCACCCATTCACTCAACCACCCATTCACCCATCCATCCACTCACCCACCCACCTTGTCCTCGCTGAGTAGTGTTAATCCTCTCTCTCTCTCTGTCTGCCGCTCGCTCACCATCCAGGGCAATGTTCTCTTGAAGAACAACTCAAGCAGTGTGGTCAGAGTCACCGACTTCGGCTTCAGCTTCTTTGTGGACCAACAAAGTGAGTGGTGACCCGCCCACACACCTGCACGTGTGCGTAAGTGTGTGTCTGGGTGGGTGGATAAAGCACAGAAAGTTGGCACAGTAAGGGGCACAGGTGGTGCATCAGCCAGTCATCTCAGTCAGTCGACCTGTGGAATCTGGGTCTGCCCCGTGACCTCCTGCCAGCGGGCGTTTGACACTTCACATGGCCTCAACATGCACATAAGCGTCGTGGTGACATCACCGCCACTCAGTGGCGAATGGCAGTTGTTGTTTGTCCATGTGTGTGGGAGTCACACCCATCCACTCACCCAACCATCCACCCATCCACCAACTCACCCACCCATCCTGCTGCTTTCGTTGTCGTCCGCACAGCGTCGTTCATTGGAGGCACCCTCCCCTACATGGCCCCCGAGGTGGTTCTGGGCTACCCGGCCACCTGCGCCGCAGACATGTGGTCCCTGGGCTGCACCGTCGCCAAGCTGGTCATCAGAAAGGAGCTCTTCGTCTCCGACATGAACAACGACCACGTGGCCTGCTGCATCGAGGTGACCAGGGCATCTCGGGGAGGCACCAGCCGACTTGGCCAGGCAGCCACATACCCATCTACTCACTCACCTACCCACCCAATTAGCCACCCAACCACCCAGCCACCCACCCACCCAGCCATCCACTTACCCACCAGCCACTCATCCACCCACCCATCTACACACTCACCCACTCACCCAAATAGTCACCCATCCACCCACTCACCCACCCATCCACCCATCCATCCACTCACCCACCCGCCTAGTCAGCCATCCACCCACTCAGCCACTCACCCACCCATCCACCCATTCACCCACCCCCCCGGTCACCACCCACCCACCTACCTATCTAGCCACCCAGCCACCCACCCACCCACCCATCCATCCACCCATCAACCCATCTAGTCACCCCTCCACCCACTTACCCACCCATCCACCCACTCACCCATCCACCCATCCACATAGTTACCCATCCACCCACTCACTCACCCACCCACCCATCGAGTCACCCATCCACCCACTCACCCACCCATCCACCCATCCACCCATCTAGTCACCCATCCACCCACTCACCCACTCACCCACCCATCTATCCACTTACCAGCCTTGCAGCTGGAACAATAAACATAGTTTAATTTAAGTATGGGTCTCTGAGTATGGGTCTCTCCGAGTATGGGTCTCTACGAGTATGGGTCTCTGTGGGTTCATGTGGGTCTCTATGAGTATGGGTCTCTGTGGGTCCCTCTATGAGTCTCTGTGAGTCTCTGTGAGTCTATGGGTCTCTATGAGTATGATTCTTTATGGGTTTCTATGAGTATGGGTCTCTTTGGGTCTCAGTGAGTCTCTGTGGGTCTTTATGAGTGAGTCTATGAGGAGTCTCTGTGGGTCCCTATGAGTCTCTATGGGTCTCTCTATGGGTCTCTATGTGTATGGGTATCTATGTGTCTGTAGAATGTGATGATGATGATGATGATATCAGCCACTTGGTTAAGTTGCTGTAATTTGTGATGGCCAAGGTCGCTTCTGAAAAAGAGCTACACAGTAGCTCAGTGGGGGCCTTACCTGGTGTCTCTGCGTCTCTCTGTGTCTGTGTCTCTCTGCCTTGAAATGGTTGAGCAGATCCTGGGCATGCCTCCCAAACGAATGGTGAAGAAAGCTCCCCGCAGGGCGTCCTTCTTTGGTGAGTTTAAGGGTGGTGATCATGTGGTGGTGATGGTTGTGATGGAGAGATGGTGGTGGTGGTTTGGTGGTGGAGATGGTGGTGGTGGTGGTATAGTGGTGGTGGTGTGGTGGTACTTTTATGGTGGTTATGATGATGGTGGAGAGGGTGGTGGAGGTGGTGGAGGTGGTGGTGGTGCGGTGGTGGTGGGGATGGAGATGGCGTTGTTGGTAGTGATGGAGATGGTGATGATGGAGATGATGGTCTGTCTCTCTGTCTCTCTCCTGCAGACCCTTTGGGAAGGCCTCACTGGCCTTCCAGGACGCGTCTCCCTGGAAGCGTTCCTCTGGACCACGTGCTGCAGGGATGTGGGGCGCAGCTCGTGAACTTCGTGAAATGCTGCCTGCAGTAAGAACAAACTTACACACACACACCACACACACACACTACACACACACACTACACACACACACCGCACAGACACCACACACAGATGACACACACACCGCACACTACACACACCACACACACAACACACTCGCACAACACCGCACACACCACCCATCTACCCCACACACACCCACACACCTACCCAACCACACCACACACCACACACACAAGACAAAGATCCCCCCAGTATAGCCTTAATAGACTGTAGGGGCAAGTGCTGTTTGCAAGCACCTACGGAGGCCGGCACTCTGGCACACGAGTGGGTGGGTGGCCAGCAACAAAGCCCAGCCGCCTTTGTCTCCCTAGTGGCGATGTTGCCTACACAGCAGGTACTTATTTGAGGATGAGTCGACCTAGGGAAGGAGGCCCATGTACCGGATCAGATAATCGCAAATCACTGGCGGTATTGGTGGCCGTGAGCGGGAATAGAAACTCGAGTCTCTGCCGGGTTCGTGGTAGCGCATTGTACCGTTAATCACTGCACCACCGCTCCCCCCTCCCCTCTCCGTGCCCCCCCACCACCCCCCCTCTTCCCCCCCACCCCCACTCCCACCCCAGATGGGATCCAAAACTGCGGATGACTCCGGATCAGGCGCTGGCTCACGGCTGGCTCCAGAGCAAGGACACCGCCACCACCCCCAGCTGGGACACCCACAGCACGGACACCCCCACCAGGGCCACTGTTACCCCCACCAAGGCCACTGCCACCCCCACCAGGGCCACTGCCACCCCTACCAAGGCCACTGCCACCCCCACCAGGGTCACTGCCACCCCCACCAGGGCCACTGCCACCCCCACCAGGGCCACAGCCACCCCCACCAGGGCCACTGCCACCCCCACCAGGGCCACTGTTACCCCCACCAAGGCCACTGCCACCCCCACCAGGGCCACTGCCACCCTCACCAGGGCCACTGCCACCCCCACCAAGGCCACTGCCACCCCCACCAGGGCCACTGCCACCCCCATCAGGGCCACTGCCACCCCCACCACGACCACTGCCACCACGACCACTGCCACCCCCACCACGACCACTGCCACCCCCACCATGGCCACTGTCACCCCCACCAGGGCCAATGCTACCCCCACCAGGGCCAATGCCACCCCCACCCCGACCACTGCCACCCCCACCAGGGCCAATGCCACCCCCACCAGGGCCAATGCCACCCCCACCAGGGCCAATGCCACTGCCACCAGAGCCAATGCCACCCCCACCAGGGCCAACGCCACCCCCACCAGGGCCAATGCCACCCCCACCAGGGCCAATGCCACCTCCACCAGGGCCAATGCCACCCCCACCAGGGCCAATGCCACCCCCACCAGGGCCACCCCCACCAGGGCCAATGCCACCCCCAGCAGGGCCAAAGCCACCCCCACCAGGGCCAATGCCACCCCCACCAGGGCCACTGCCACCCCCACCAGGGCCAATGCCACCCCCACCAGGGCCAATGCCACCCCCACCAGGGCCACTGCCACCCCTACCAAGGCCACTGCCACCCCCACCAGGGCCACTGCCACCCCCACCAGGGCCACTGCCACCCCCACCAGGGCCACTGCCACCCCCACCAGGGCCACTGCCACCCCCACCAGGGCCAATTCCACCCCCACCAGGGCCAATGCCACCACCGGCAGGGCCAACGCCACCACCACCAGCGAGTCCACCACCACCACTGCTGGGGATCTGCAGGCCTCTAAAGCTGCAGAACCACGGTGAGACTCCCACTGTGTTCACAGTGCAGGGCTGAGATGTCAACTACCTCGCCTGTTACGCAGGAGGCGTTGGGTTCAATCACGATCCCTGACGATGCCTGTTGCTGTTGTATATTCTGAGTCTGCATCTCTCTCTATACCCGTGGAGATGTTAACTACATCGCCTGGTGCACAGGAGGTTGTGGGTTCATTCCAGACCCCTGACGATGCCTGCTGCTGCTGCTCTATATTTGGAGTCTGCGTCTCTCCCCCCATGGTGGTCACTGCGTGAATTTTTCTCCAGGTCCTCTGGGCTTTTCTCTCCACATTTAGAATCGACATCACCACGCGGTTAGACTCTTTGGCTGCCGCTGTTAAATGGCCACTTGATGATGATGATGATATCAGCCACTTTGTTGAGCTGCTATCATTTGTGATGGCTAGGTAACTCCTGAAAAAGATGCTACGTAGCTTAGTGAGCCTTACTTGGTAAAATAAAAATACAGTAGTTTAGTTTTAGTATGGATCTGTATGGGGCCCTGTGGTTCTATGAGAGTCTCTGTGGGTATCCGTGAGTCTCTGTGAGTCTCTGTGGGTGTCTGTGATTCTCTGTGTCTCTGTGAGTCTTTATGGGTGTATGTGAGGCTGTGTGGGTCTCTGTGAGTTTCTGTGGGTCTCTGTCGGTCTCTGAGTCTCTGCGAGTCTCTGTGGGTATCTGTAAGTCTCTGTGGGTATCTGTAATTCTCTGTGGGCCTCTATGAGTCTCCGTGGGTCTCTGTGGTTTGATATGATGAGTCTCTAGATCTCTGTGGATTTTTGTATGTGTCTCTGTGGGTCTCTATGGTTCTATACGAGTCTCTGGATCTCGATGGGTCTCTGTGTGGGCCTTCTGAAAGAAAGCTACACAGTAGCTCAGTGGGAACCTTACGCCTGATTAAAATAAAAAGAGTTTAGTTTTAGAATGGGTCTCTGTGGGTGTCTAAACATTTCCACCCGATGAAGATGATGATATCAGCCACTTCGTTGAGCTGCTATCATTTGTGATCGCCAGGTTGCTTCTAAACAAGAGCTACACAGTATTTCAGTGTGATCTTACATGTGGTAACATAAACATAATTTAGCTTTAGTTTGTGTTGCTGTGGGTCTCTGCGAGTAACGGTCTCTGTAGGTCTGTATGGGTCTCTCTGGGTGTCTATGAGTCTGTAGAAACACGCGCTTAGAGTATTTGGCTACTGCTATAAATGTCCATACGATGATGATGATATCAGCCACTTGGTGGAGCTGCTATCGCTTGTGATGGCCAGGGCCGCTACTGAAAAAGAGCTACACAGCAGCTCAGTGGGAGCATTACAGCTGGTAAAATAAAGTCGTAGTTTTAATCCGTTAGTTCACCCATGGGAGGATCTGGTGGTGGTGGTGGTGGTGGTGAAGACCGACTGCGACCTTCTGGCCGTAGTAGTGAGATGCTGAAGTGATGGTGCTATGGTGCTGTGGTCCTGCTGTCTCCGCAGAGTTAAGACTGAGGAGAAGCCCCTATCATCATCATCGTCATTCTCACTGCTCGACCACATCGATGGAGAGCGGTTGAAGCTTGTGGAAGAGGAGGTGAAAGAGGAGAAAGAAAAAAACGAGACGGAGAAGGATGAGAACAAGGATAATGAGGAGAAGGACAAAGATGGGAATGAGAAGGACAAATATGGGAATGAGGAAGAGGACAAACATAAGAAGGAGGAGGATACTACAGAGGTGGAGAAGACAAAGGAGGAGATAGAAGGGGAGGAAGAAAAGACAATAGAGGAGAACGAGAAGACGGAGGAGGAGGTGGAGGAGGTGCAGCAGCCACTGGAGAAGAAGAAGCATGGGGGCCTGACGAGGATGGACAAGACACTCCGCTCACACCGCTCGCTCATCCGCCACATGGTGCTGTGCGGTGGCCAGGCGACGGCACAATAGCGGGGTGGTGGTGGTGGAGGAGTTTGTGCCACCCACCACCACGAGCAGCACCACCACCGCACCACCCACCCAGCTACCCACCCTGTAATACCACACTAACCACACACGCTCACCACACTCACCACACACACTCACCACACTCACCACACACACACACTCCCGCAGGGAGCAGCTGTGGCACAAATACTTAAGAGTGGACACCAGACATGGACTGGACACAGCTACTCTCACTGCACTCACCACACGCTCACCTCACACCCCTTTACCCCAGACTCTAACTATAATATATAGTGTCGTACGTAATGTAGATTTTTGGTATATTGTTATTATTGTAAATATATTGTAATTGTAAGGAGTATTGTTATAATAAGATAATTGTTATAAGAGGCTTGTTATACGTAAAGTCACAAGGACATGAAATGTCGTTTCAGACGTGTTTTGGGGTTGGTGCCTTCGATTGTAAGTGCCGTGTGGGTCGGAGTTCATAATGGCCGTGTCACCCACCCACTCATCTACCCACCCACTTGTTCACACACCCACCCACTTGTTCACACACCCACCAACTCGTTCACTCACCCACCCACCCACTCGTCCACTCACCCACCTACCCACTCGTTCACTCACCCACCCACTCGTCCACTCACCCACACACGTAGGCGGTCACTCACCCACCCACTCGTTCATTCACCCACCCACCCACTCGTTCATTCACCCATCCAGTCACTCGATTAATCTCCCACCCACCTACTCACTCGTTCACTCACCAACCCACCCACTCGTTCACTCACCCACCTACCCACCCACTCGTTGACTCACCCAACCCACTCGTTCACTCACACACCTACGCACTCGTTCACTCACCCACCCACTCAATTGTTCATTCGCCCACCCACTCGTTCACTCACTCACGCAATCGTTCACTCACCCATACACCCACCCACTCGCTCACTGATCTACCTGCCCACTCATGCGTTCACTCAAATACCCAACTACTCGTTCAATCACCCACCCACCCACTCGTTCACTCACCCACCCACTCGTTCACTCACTCACCCACTCGTTCACTCACCCACCCATTTACTAGTTCACTCACCCACCCACTCGTTCACTCACCCACTCGTTTACTCACCCACCCACGCACTCGTTCACTCACCCACCCACCCACTCGTTCACTCACCCACCCACCCCCATCTACTTGTTCATTCACCCATTCACTCGTTCTCTCACCCACCCACCCACCCACTTGTCCACTCACCCACCTACCCATTCGTTCACTCACCCACCCACCGACTCGTCCACTCACCCACTCTCCCACCCACTCTATCACTCACCCACCCATCCACTGGTTCACTCACCCACCTACTCATTCACTCATCCACATGCCCACTTACGCGTTCACTCACCCACCCACGTACGTGTTCACTCACCCACCCACCCACTTGTTCATTCACCCTCCCAGCCACTTATTCACTAACCCACCCACTCGTTCACTCACCCAACCCACTAGTTCATTAACCCACCCACCAACTTGTTCACTCACCAACCCACCCACTCGTTCACACACCCACCCACCCACCCACTTGTTTATTCGTCCACACACCTTCTCTCACCCACCCACCCACTCATTCAATCACTCACGCAATCTTTCACTCACCCGCCCACCCGCTTGGTCACTCATCCACCCACCCAGTCATTTGATCAATCTCCCACCCACCTACTCACTCGTTCACTCACCAACCCACCCACTCGTTCACTCACCCACCTACCCACCCACTCGTTGACTCATCCACCCACCCACTCGTTCACTCACACACCTACGCATTCGTTCACTCACCCCCCCACCCAATTGTTCATTCGCCCACCGACTCGTTTTCTCACCCACCCACTCGTTCACTCACTCACCATATCGTTCACTCACCCACACACCCATCAACTCGTTCACTGATCTACCTGCCCACTCATGCGTTCACTCAAATACCCAACTACTCGTTCAATCACCCACCCACCCACCCACTCGTTCACTCACTCACCCACCTGTTCACTCACCAACCCATCCACTCGTTCATTCGCCCACCCACTCACACGTTCACTCACCGACCCACTCGTTCACTCACCCACCCACCCACCCACTTGTTCACTCCTCAACCCACCCACTCGTTCACTCACCCACCCACCCACCCACTCGTTCACTCACCCACCCACCCATCTACTTGTTCATTCACCCACTCACTTGTTCTCTCACCCACCCACGCACTAATTCACTCACACACCCACCAATCCACTTGTTCATTCGCCCACTCACTCGTTCTCTCACCCACCCACCCACCCACTTGTTCACTCACTCACTCACCCACCCACTCGGTCACTCAACCACACACTCGTTGACTCACACAACCACCCACTCATTCACTCGCCCACCCACCCATCTACTTGTTCATTCACCCACTCACTCGTTCTCTCACCCACCCACCCACTCATTCACTCACACACCCACCAATCCACTTGTTCATTCGCCCACTCACTCGTTCTCTCACCCACCCACTTGTTCACTCACTCACTCACCCACCCACTCGTTCACTCAACCACACACTCGTTGACTCACCCAACCTCCCACTCATTCACTCGCCCACCCACCCATCTACTTGTTCAATCACTCACTCACTCGTTCACTCACTCACCCACTCGTTCACTCGCCCACCCACCCACTCGTTCACTCGCCCACCCACCCACACGTTCACTCACCCAACCCACTCGTTCACTCTTCCACCCATCCACTCGTTGACTCACCCACGCACCCACTCGTTCACTCACACACCCACCAATCCACTTGTTCATTCGCCCACTCACTCGTTCTCTCACCCACCCACCCACCCACTTGTTCACTCACTCACTCACCCACCCACTCGGTCACTCAACCACACACTCGTTGACTCACACAACCACCCACTCATTCACTCGCCCACCCACCCACCTACTTCATTCACCCACTCACCCGTTCTCTCACCCACCCACCCACTCATTCACTCACACACCCACCAATCCACTTGTTCATTCGCCCACTCACTCGTTCTCTCACCCACCCACTTGTTCACTCACTCACTCACTCACCCACCCACTCGTTCACTCAACCACACACTCGTTGACTCATCCAACCTCCCACTCATTCACTCGCCCACCCACCCATCTACTTGTTCAATCACCCACTCACTCGTTCACTCACTCACCCACTCGTTCACTCACCCACCCACCCACTCGTTCACTCGCCCACCCACCCACACGTTCACTCACCCAACCCACTCGTTCACTCACCCACCCACTCGTTCACTCTTCCACCCATCCACTCGTTGACTCACCCACGCACCCACTCGTTCACTCACACACCCACCAATCCACTTGTTCATTCGCCCACTCACTCGTTCTCTCACCCACCCACTCGTTCACTCACTCACTCACCCACCCACTCGTTGACTCACCCAACCACCCACTCATTCACTCATTCACTCACAGACACACCTACTCATTCTCTCACCCAACCACCCACCCACTCATTCACTCAGTCACCCATCCAGTCATTTATACACCCACTCACTCTACCAGCCGCCCAGTCATCCACCCACCCACTCACTCAGCCACCCACCAACTCACTCTACCAACCACCCACCAACTCACTCTACCACTCACCAACCCACCCACTCACCCACCTACAAACTCACTCTAACACCCAACCACTCACCAAGCCACCAACTCACTTTACGATCCACCCAGTCACCGACCAACTCACTCTATCACCCATCCAATCAACAACCCACCAACTCACTCTACCACCCACTCATCCACCCACCCACTCACTCTACCACACATTCACCAATCCACCAAGTCACTCTACCACCCACTCACCCACCAACTCACTCTACCACTCACCAACACACTCTACCAGCCACCCACTTATTCACCCACCAAACTCACTCTACCACCCATACACCCATCCACTCACCAACCCACCAACCCACTCTATCACCCACCCACTCACTCACCCACCACCTCACTCTACCACCCATTCACCCAACAACTCAGAGTGAGTTGGTGGGTTTGTGGGTGGATGGTAGAGTGAGTTGGTGGGTGGGGGTTAGAGCGAGTTTGGTCGATGAGTGTGTGGGTTGTAGAGTTAGTTGGTGGGTGGGAAAGTGGGTGAGTGATAGAGTGAGTTGGGTTGATGAGTGGGTGGTAGAGTAAGTGGGTTGGTGTATGAGTGGTTGGATGATAGAATGATAGAGTTGGTGGGTGAATGAGTGGGTGGGTGGTAGAGTGAGCTTGTGGGCTGGTGAGTGGGTGGATGGTAGAGTAATTTGGTGGGTGAGTGGATGGGTGGTGGAGTGAGTCGGTGGTTGCATAGGTGGGTGGGTGGTCTAGTGAGTTGGTGGGTAGATGAGTGGATGTTAGAGTGAGTTTTGTGGTAATTTATTGAAGGTGAGTCCAGACGGGTTCCGCAGGATTGTAAGGATGCCCTTGTGGTCCCCCTCTTTAAGAAGGGGGACCGCACAGACTAACAACAACAGGGGAATCTCACTCCTCAGTGTGCCAGGAAAGGTCCTGTCAAGGATTATTCAACATCGCCTTGCCAGGCACGCTGAGAAGAGGCTTGCGGAGCCTCAATGTGGTTTCAGGAAAGGGCAGTCCTGCACGGATGCCATATTTTCTGTCCGTTTGCTACAGCAGAGGTGTAGGGAATTCCAACAAGACCAACATCTCTGCTTTATTGACCTGGTCAAGGCCTATGATATCATCAGTAAGCCTGGGCTCTGGGTTGTTCTTCGTGCTTTCGAAGTCCCTGGCCCTCTGCTCACGATCATTAAGGACCTTCATGATGGCAGAGTGGGCCCGGGTAAATTTACGTGGCCTGGAGTTGGAGCCATTCCCTGTTCACCTTGGGTTGCGACAGGGATGTCCTCTGGCTCCCACATTATTTAACATATTTTTCGACCACGTAGTTTGTGAAGCCT